ACAAAACTTCAGAGTCTTGAAAGATGAAATGCTCACAATCTCTTTATTTTATCCACCTATATGCAAGGATTGCATGCTTTATTGTTTAGAACTTGTCAAATGACTGACAATTGAGGAAATTTAAAGGGGAGACATAAATAGGAAACTGTAAAAGGATCAACTCATAATGAAACTAAAGTTTCATGGTGGCTGAGCTTTGTTTGAGCATAGATCTAATGACAATGGAATATTTGGTTTGCAGTTCATCTTAATGTTTATATGACAATGATGAATTTAAAAAAAAAAAAAAACCACCAAATTGTCCTATTGCGCGCGCATGCCAACTGAAGTCCGTTTAGAAATTGAAATGCGAGCCGATAAATGAATTCTTTCTCAGTAGAAGGGAAAAATGCGATACTAATTTTTTTTTTTTTTTCTATGACTGAAGTCTTGTTAGATTGTTGACTGAAGGCAAAGTTGAAATGTAGGGAATAACCATAAAAAGAAAACTCTTTTTGTGGTATAAGATGGTTACGTAGCCAGAACAGAATAGGTAAAGTAAGAGATGAAAATTTATATCAATAAGTAGAGGGGACACAAGTAGAGGATAAATTAAGGGTAGCACAGTTAGATGGTTGCAGCATATCTTGTGTATGTCTGATATTAATTTTTTCACTATGCAAGGGAACTATAATGTTATGCATTATTTAATTGCTTAATTGGATACAAAGCTTACTTTTGCCTTCATCACAAGTTTGTCTAATGATAGTATATATTATGTTGTTCACAGCATATCTTCATTCTGCATATTTAAATGCATCTTTCACAGTTTAGTACTAGATTTGATCATAAACAAAAAATGGGAAGAAAAATATAGAAGCGTTGGAGAACATACTGAGTAAATTGGAAGGATCTTATATAATGTTGAACTACTGAACTTAATTAACTCTTTTCTCAATACTTATAAATGGTCAGCTATATGGATAGTCTGCTTCCCATCTACTCCAACCATAGCCCTTTTCAAAGTCAAACCACATAGGCTCAAAACCTTATACATTACCTCATTCGAAGTGCCGAACCAATTAAATTCCCTTTGTTTATCATTTTTATATTTTCTCTACAAACCAATTTTGTGATCTGGGATCTACAACTGGTATCGGAGCAGATAAAGGTTCTGGGATAAAGTATCGCTACTACCCATTTATAAAAATTGTGCACGTGTCAAAACTTTGTTAAAAGAATGACTCCAGTAGTCCAGCTTGCATGCAAGGAGGCGCTTTTGAAGGCAAAACTTAAATTAAATTTGCCCCATCTAAAAGCTTAACCCTTTAGATGAGGTGGTTCAACAACTACTAATACTTTTTTTTTCACTATGCAAGGAAAATGTGATGTATTGAATTATTAAACTCTAAAATGTTGACGCTTTTATTCTGATCTGATCGCAACATAATTTATACTTTTTCAGTTGCTTGATTGGATAAAATACTTTGCCACTCATGGAACTGAATCTATAGGATATGGCACCATTAACTTTTATTTGAGTTGTGATACTTTATGGTAGTTGCTTATTTCCTTTTCACGAGTTTATCTAATGATAGTGTACTAGTAGTTCAAAGTATATTTTTGTCCTCCATAATTAAATGCATTTGTTTCAATTCACTACTAGATTTGGTCGCTTTAATCTGGAAAGTAAGATCAAGCAATTAATGTATAAATGCGGAGGGTTAAAACGCCTTGTTTTTGGGATTTTTTTATGAAAATTGTGTCGTCTGGTTTGAATTGAAAATCACCAACATGCAAATCGATAATACATATTCTTTTGTTTTTGTCAGGACACATCTTTGTACTCTCTCTGGTTATCATGATCCGACAATTTTTTCTGTCCATTGTTCAAGGTAGCAAAATGCATTCACCTTGTTCACCTATTCTTTCACAATCTTTTTTTTTTTTTTTTTTAAATATGTATTCACACAGCTTGATGGTTTTTAACTTTTCTGGCCAATGTTTATCCATAGAAATTATTCTGGGCTTGTAATACGCTTTTGAATCACATGGACATTACAGGGAAGGGATAATTGCCAGTGGAGCAGCTGATGATGCTATCCGTTTATTTGTTGAGAGTGAAGATGGATTGGTATAATTTCACCTCTCTTCTAATTGTTGTTTTCTTAATGCCATCTTTCGTTCATGGAGCTATAGTGGGCAACCAATGATGTATAATCTCCTCGCCCTCTAGCTTTATGCAACAATCATTAGTCCTTGATTCTATGCACTATTAGATTTGTTTGCTGTTACATAATTTGTCATCTTATCTTGTCTATGCACTCTGGTATCCTGTGTATATCTGAGTTTTGTATATGTATGTATGTTGAGAAAGCTCCAAAAGTCTTCCATATGTTTTATGTTGCATCATTAGTTAGAATGTTAACTTGGATATTCAGGGTAAGCTCCGGGAACTTGTTATGTTGAGTTATATGTAATTTTGCTGTGCATTATTCCTTATTATCACGTAAGTGAATATTTGGGTTTACTCTCTGGATTTTCTCTATTTGTTGCCACATAAGTACTTGCTAGTCAATCTGAAAACTTGTGTAGTACTTTTGTTCCCCAAAGTATCTCTTAAATCATCATGTTTTCACTTGCACCATTTTTCCTGATAAATGAAATCCACATTAATTAAACTCCAAATGGGGTAGAGTGAGTAAAATCAATGTCCAAATTCCACAAACACAAAACTAAAGTAGAAGTTTGTGCATGTAACCTTGGTGGAAGAAAGGGGTTAAGATTATCTGAAAAACTTAACACAAGATCCAGAAATCAAAACGAAATAAATGAAATTTTGATACATGTACTTGAGTCATTGAAAACCAGTTTCATTATGTTAATTCTCCTGAATGTCTGTACAGTTATCCATACAATTTTTCCTGGTTTCATAATTAGAAATTTAGAAGGTACTTGTATCTGTTTGCTGGTTGATGAACCTTCTTATAAATTACTTCTGATGAAAGAGAAGGCTCATGACATGGATGTAATGCTGTGCAGTGGTGTACCACAGTAAATTTATTGACAGATAGAGTTGCATATTACATGCATACAAATTTTGAATTCAGTCTGCATAACTGATTATATATATCTGGGGGTGGGCTTAGATAAAGAGAAAGATCACATCTTGAAAATAATCTTTATCAGGGTATTTTTGAACTTGTTTACCCACTGATAGCCATAAATTTCATCTTCTAAACCTAAAAATTACTTTCGCCAATTGTTTTAAGTTCATTCTCTCAGAACAATAGGACTAGAAAATAAAGGTTTTCGCAGCAGCCCAGATAGCCCCGGAAAAGCTGCTGTATAGGTGCCTTCCTTTTGATATGCACTGTAAATTTGCCTTATATGATCTTTCATCAGCTTCTATATATAGTCGGAACATTCAGATCGAGACATTAGACTTGTTAATAAATTACACCATGCATTGTTGGTTACTTCTGAATTGATTGACCTGTACTATTAATGGAACTCTGAAGTCACTTTGCTTTATGTTTAACTTCTGTTGGCGTTCACTTTGCTTAATTTTTAACTTTTGTTGGCATTCAATAGTTACCTCATTTAATGCCTGTGGAATGAATTATTCAGCATTGTGGAATTTTGATGTTTGTGTGCTTCATTCATGTCTGCTGAATTTGTTGTTATCTGACAGGAAAATACGCCTCTTGCCTCCGCTAGTGACGATGGAAAAGTCAAGATATGGCGACTAAATGCCTCGTCTGGAAATGAGAAGCTACCATTATAGCTCTACACTCAGTAATACACCGACATTTTTGTGAGTTATTTTGCTGTGTTGTAGAAATACAGATCCTTGTAATTTTCAGCCGTTTAAACAAAATTCACTGGAGGAACTTTTGTAATATATATGTACAATTTCTCAATAAGATATTTTGGATGTAATCATACACTTCACTCTACTGTATCTATGGATGTATCTTTGCTAATAATGGAATGAACATTTGCTTGTGTTACAATGCATTAAGTTCATTCTGTTTCAAGGCGTATTTAAATCTTTTGTCTTGTTCAATTTTGTCTATTAAACGTACTAAATATGTACCTCACCTGCCCAATTGTGGACTGGAAAGTGGAGAAATTAAGAAGAAAAAAATATGAATCACCATATATTATATGGGTAACTTGGTAGCACCTTTTTTAGGTCAGGCAGCCAAAGAAAATAGCAAAAAATCAACTATGTTATGCAATAATATGTATCAAATATATGATGTAGCAAATTCGTTGAAGAATTTGTTTATTATTCTCTTAAAAATTGTTATTTTAATGATATAAACATAGGGATATGCAAATTATTGTCGAAACACATCAAAAGGAAGAGAAGAGCTCTCATGAACTCAAAAATAATTGCCTAACAGCTATTCTCTATTCTCAATCTGCTTGAGTTTGCTCTTCTTCCTTCTTCAACCAAAGAAGCTCTTGCAGACATGATATTGTTATTCCTCAATGAGGCATCAAACGCAGTGCAATCTATCCAATCCTTGAGCAAATCTTCCTGTCCCCACATATCAGGGATCCAAACCTGACCTGCAACCTCGACACGATGTCTCTTTAGTCTCTCACGTCCACTGTCCTCTACCACTGGCTCAGTACATGTATCCTCCAACTTTATTGACATATTTCGTGAAGAACCTTGTGGAGGTGGTGTTTTTGTTTCATTGGATTGGTTTTCTTCTTCAAATTTTCTCTTTGTTTCATCCACTGAAAATGGCTTCTCTGGGATATGAACTTTCTTGGATTCTAGTTCAGGCTCATTGGAGTTGTGTGGAGTACTCATTTCTATGGACTCTTTTTGCATGAATGAAAAACACAGACACAGAGAAATACATACGCAAACACTCTATCCCCAATATTTTTCTATGGTGGTTGAAGATTATATGAAGGTTTGTTGATTTTGTGAGAGGGAAGCAAAGTAAATGAATGGAATGTTAGTTTACACGTACATGAACAGATGAAGTGTATTGTTTTTATGGTAAGAGACAAGTGTGCGTGTCTTTTTCTTGATATTGGATTCCAAATTGTGTGGTTTTATTATAAGGCTTTGGAAATGAAAAGAGAGAAAAAGAGAGGCCCTTAAGGGTTTTGTGGAGGAGAGGATTCCTTGAAAGGATTTTTCGAGAGAATATTGTGAGGTTGATGTTCATTTGGGATTTTAAGACGTTGGGCCAATTAACACACAGAAATTGATATGGGAAGGATCTTTTGGCGGTTTTCATCAAGTGGTGGTTACATGCACCTTGTTTATATCATTCAATGGGGGGACTGAACCTTCTTGTTGTGTAGGGCAGGGTGGGTTGAGATTTTTTATGGGATACAAATAGAGATTGTCATTCCATTTATAATGTTAAACTAACGAAAAATTTGATATGAGAGTCAATTTGATGCCCTAACTCATAAGATTATGTCATTTCATTTTTTTCGTTCGTCAAACTAATGGATATAAAAGAAATGTTTAAATCATAAGTCTTTTAAGTTCGATCACAACTTTGAACAAAATGAAATTTTATAAGTAAAATATGAAGTTTCATTAAAAATTACGAAATGACCACTACCACGGTCACACGTTACGAATATTTGTGAACAAAGATTTCTCTACCTTTCATCCTACATGGGCATGGCCCGATGTGCAAGTTGCATCAAGTCTTATCTTTGTAAAGTTCCACGCTCTAATCTCATCCATTAACTTTCCATAAGATGATTTCTTGGGCTTGAAATTTGGCTGCTTCCTTTTATGTTATTCCATGGGATAAAACGCAACCTTATGACCACTAGAAAAATTATATTCAATGTATTCTGATCATGTTTAGACTAGACTCGTAATTTCTATTAAATATATGTTACATAACAATCTTCATAAATGAATGATGACGAGTTTGAAACTCGAGACATGTTTGCTGTTCGAAGTAACGCATTTAATCAAGAACTAGTACGCTGCATAACCAAGTATCTGACTCCATCAATCCACAATTTGGTTAAAAAAAATGCAGGATCTCTGTTTCTCAAGTCTACACTTAACATATGATGCAAAGCCAAAATCCTGCACAGACAAGATATAGCACCCGAGATAGGTGTGATCAAGTCGAAGGAAGACTACTTTGAAGGGGCAGGCTGTGTGACGGAGAAAATTCAAAGGTCGTTCCAGGCTTGGGGATAGTGAGAGTGTCGTCGCTTCCTCAAGAACTTGAATAGGAGCATCTTTTTACTTTTATAGCAGCATTGTATGACTATATGTCTCAAACCCGTATCTGTTACAGCTCATTCTTCAAGAAATCATTATAAATTGCTTCAACTCAGTGAAGAAGAGCCTGCATTTGCCATAATAGCTCGGAAATCAGCAAATTCTACATTCACTAACTGTAGAATCTCCTAATGATGCAAACTTATCAACAACTATTAACAGAAGAATTAATCCATAACCTGCTCATGTAGAGGGATTGTTTATTCTTATACAGATTGAAAAGAAATTTGACGGACAGTAGCATGTTCATAAAACACTAAATGCCTGTACACATTCATATATGTGCACACGTACACTTGCAAATATAATCATTCTTGTAAGCCAACCAGGGACCGCCTCAGTCTTTCTATTAAACCTTCAACACGCCTCACGTGCAAACCAATCTATTTGAAGTGCGACAATGTTCACTAGTAACAAAAAACCAACATTTAGGTTCCAGGTTGAATGTCCAGTACAGGATGGCAATTTGAAAGGCTATCTTAATGACTTCACTTGCTACATCTTCGACAATTCACCTCGAGAAACATAATAACTACCAAGCATTTCAAACTATGACTCTCGTATTCAATCAAGACGTAACATTTTGGATGGACATTGAAGCTGAGGTTGCCATGTCATAAAGTATCAATAATCGAAGGAAGATTCTCAAATATCATCATAAGCATATAGGATATGTTGTTGATAGTTCAAAAACAAAAAATCCACGGAGGAGAGAAATAGATTGAACATATTTTGTGAGAGAAAAAATATTTAGCAAAGGATAAACTGAGCTTACGGTCACAAAGACCACGTAATGGAATTTGGTTTAAAGATTGAAAAACTTGGTTAAGTGTAAACTTGAAAAGTGACTTTGTGTCAACTTCGATCAAATATTCGAATTTGATCTGATGGTCAAATTATAAAAATAAATAGACTAACTTGTTCTACTCGTCAAGTAGATTATCGTAGTATATTTGGAACCTCAAAACCAATTCCGAATGAATGAGAAATTGCAGTCCAAATTCAACATATACATGATGGAACCATAATTAAATCAAGAAATGTTCTTCGAGAATATTTTTCTATATAAAGACAAGGAAAATACTAGTTCAAATAAAAGAATTTATGAAACTACAAATGACACTTCAAATTAGGAAGAACCAAGGCGTAGTAAAAGGGCTAAAACATCTACTTTGTTTGGTCTAGATTTTCTAACTTACATGGTAGAAAATGATTCAAAAACTTTTGATGAGCAATATCTACACCCGAAGCACCGCATTGAAACAAAGCTATCAATAATGAGATAGACTCTATAATGCAAAATCATACTTGGGAGTTGGTTAATTTACCTCCCGAAAATAAGCATTTAGAGTGTAAACGGATTTTCAAAAAGAAACTAAAACTGGATGAGTCCATTAACAAATATAAAGCTAGATTGATTATTAGGGATATAAACAAAATGAAGGACTTAACTTCTTTAATACCTACTCACCAGTGACTAGAATCAATTCGATAATGTTGTTAATTGCAACGGCATCACATAACCTTGAAATTCATCAAATGGATATAAAAACGACATTTCTAAATGGTGAGTTAGAAAAGGAGATATACATTGAACTACCGGAAGGGCTCGTCTTTCCTAATTACAAACAAAAGGTTTCTAATCTCGTTAAGTCCTACACGGATTGAAACAAATTCCTAAACAATGGCACTAAAAGTTTGACAATACGATGTTATTTAATGGATTTAAGATAAACGAGTGTGACAAGTGTGAATATATAAAACATATAATGAAAGCCTCTGTGATTGTATGTCTATATGTAAATGACATGTTGATAATGAGTAATAGTCACGAAATAATACTAAACACCAAGAGAATGTTAACGAAATATTTTGATATGAAAGACTTGGGTGTGGCTAATATGATATTAGGGATTAAGATCTCTAGAACATCGGAAGAAATTTTACTTTCTCAATCTAACTATATTGAGTGCATACTTAAAAGGTATAATACACTTGAGGAAAGTCCTGCGAAAATTCCTATTGACACAAGTTTACACTTAGTTAAAAATACGAGCGAATGTGTGTTATAACTAAAGTATTCACAAATTATAGGCAGTCTAATGTATATTACAAATTGCACACAACTGGACATAGCATTTGTTGCGAATAAATTTAGTAGATTTATAAGTAATCCAAGTCATGATCATTGGAAGGCTTTGACAAGGGTTTTTAGGTATTTGAAGTATACCTTAATATATGGATTACACTTCACAAAAAATCATGCGATATTGAAAGGATATTGTGATGCAAATTGAATATTCGACATGAAGAATTCCAAGTCTATTAGTGGTTATGTATTTACCATTCGTGGAGCTATTGTGTCATGGAAATCAAAAAAGCAAACTTTTATAGTTCGATCAAAGATGGAATCAGAGTTTATTGTTTTGGACAAAGATGGAGAAGAAACAGAATGGTTTTGTTGGAGTCGTGTAGTGCCGAAAATACCCGCACGAAAGGGAGGCAACACCACTTTAGGACAATATCGTGACTCTCCAAGGTTTGCTTTCCTAATCCTTTTCATACTCTTATGTTATTGTTGAATTATCTTACTTATATTTATGTTTAAAATTGTTATGTTAATTGTTAATTTATTTATGCACAAATCACCCATTTTTTCCAACAATCTAAAGTCATGTACGTGATTTGTGTGTAGACGACTGGTTTTATGATCTTGAACTAGTAAAATTGAAGAATTTCTTCTTTATATTGAGATTTATGTAGAAGGTTACCTCTATGTTTTGACATTATTGACTGAAATCTCTTTGAGTAATCACGCAAGTATAATACTATATGTCTAAAGAACAATGGGCTACGTAGAGACATGAAAATACACCAAGTCAGAGAGGTACCATTTCAAAGGCAACACAATGTTGCGGAATAATTCCAGTGTCTTTCAATTTCTTGCTTTTGTACCCAAATAATCTCATTCGAAGGGAAAGATCAGCAGTTTTCTCTAATAGAAAAAGGGTTACATTGCTTATTGCAATGTAAATGCAAGGACTGGTAAACCATATAATTGTTACAGTAGTGCGCATTAAACTTTTGAGTCTAAATTTATTGGGTGTCAACTGAATTTGTATAACATTCATCTGTGTAAAAAATTGTTTTTAATGGTAAAGTCAGAATATATCCTCAAGTAAAGTCTCCTCAAAACAATTTTGTGTGAAATGAATTCAAGTGAAATGGCTATCCGCAACCAAGATTTCCTTTGAGAAACTAACACTGATTTTCTTTCTTAATAAGGAGATTTGATCGTTCATAACGACTATTAATTAAACTTCGTTTTGTGGATTTGAATGTGGTGTCATTGTGCAGATGTGCATATGCTGGATTCCCAAAATATTCAAATTATAGTATATACATATATGGTACAAAATTTGAATTCTTGCCTTATTTCATTACTTTGTGCCGCGGCGTAGTTTTCATGTATCAAACTTCTTAAAACAGATCTCAAGTTCAAAAACAAAGAACAGATCTGCTCATGAAACAAAGAATAC